TTGCATGCGTACGTACACGTACACTCGCACTTATACTGTGCGCATGTACAAAAATAATAACAACAAAAAAAAAAAAACAAGAACAAAAATAATAATAATAATATATATATATATACTTTGATTATTTAAAAATTAAAAAAAAAAAAAAATAGGCGATGGTAACTCTTAATATTTAATATCCTTTCTTTATTGATAATCCCTACAGACCGTACGACATATACATTATTACCTCGCTCTTTTTTTTTTACTTTTCGTTTCGTTTCGTTTCGTCTTTTCTTCACCTCTTCGTCTCCCTCCATCAGATTCGATTATCAATTTCATCATTACACAATCTTACCAGAATGTGAAGAGCGTCGGTCACTGGCCTAAACGGCGTAGTGGTGCTTTATTAGGTCCGATGGGCAAATCGCCGGACCGCGCAGTCCAATAGCGCAAACGTTCACCTGAAAATAAACCCGTATACCGCTCAATGCGGTTACGGCATACTCATAGATTCATTTTCAAGTAAACAAAAAATCTTCGCTCATCGTTATTATAACGCACCCGATATTCCGTCATCTTATGCACAAAAATACTCCTCACTTACGTCATATAAAATGATCATTGTTCTTTTGACGAAAGTGGGAAGTTCGATTCCATCGCACCCCAATCCATCTTTAACCTTGTCCGCTACCTACCATTTTCACCCGGCCATTTGCTCATCCTAAATCCCATACATCATCGCACAGATGGACCGACAATTCGAAAGAGTCTGGTTTCCTTTGATTTCACTCTTTTTCTTTTTTTTTTTCTTCTTGCACCGGACCTCGCTTTCAACGATTACGGATTAAATCATAATTCATGCATTGACACGATCAGTGCTCATATGATAGGTGCATTAAACTATTGGCCCTCCCACATGTACATTAGTTATAAAAATACTTATTCGCTATCTCTCAAAAAAATTTTTTTTTTCCCTATTTCTTTCTTTTCCTTCTTTCTTCCTCCTTTTGCAATAATAATCCTTTTTCGAGGAAAATTCTATCACGATAATAATAATAATTATAATAATTCTACTTTCTATAAAATCAAGTAAACCAAGTGTATAAACAAATCTCTTCATAAAAAAAAAAAAAAAAAAAAAAAAAAAAAACCTGAGGACATAGATCGTAAAAAACAATTTCTCTCGAGACAAAGGAAAAAAGAGAGAGGCAGAAACATTCGTCGTTGGTACGGTTTCATAAGATAAAAATGATAATGTTCACCTGTTATCCAAAGCGATGGACGACTGACCTCCTACTTGTTTAATGTTTCGTTTTTTTTTTTTTTTTTATCTTTTAATATTTAGACCATATACATAATACCGAAAATAGTATCAGAGAGATGGCGGATTCAGAATACGATAATAGGATTAATATTTTCGCTGATTCACGTACCTATTACAGTACCGGAGACCATAGTTTCACGGACTCCAATGTCAGGCAATATAGGAGTTTCGCGGTATGTACAGACGACCGCATTTCCTTGATTCTCTTGGATTTAGATTGCGTTCCTCGGCACTTTTGATTCATCCTCCTCGGTTGACCACTCCTCCCTTCCAACTAAAAAATTTCTCTTTTCCTTTGCAGATGTCCAAAAGTTCCAGTCCAAAATACAGATCGGGCGAAAGGGATGTACGCAAAAGACGAGCTTCACATGGTAAAGTATTTTTAAACATCGACACTCCACTTTTTCTTATTCAATGGTGGTTTTGGGTTTTGTTTGCATTTCCTGGGGTTGGAATGGAATGGTTTATATGTAGTATAATATATATAAAGAAGAGGATTTTATCCGTCAATATCGGCAGAGTCGAGTCTTTCCTTGGCCGCTGTGAGAGCTCCACGACTGTTCAACACCGATTTCCTTACGGGAACAGTGAATGAATGAGTGAGTGAAAGAAAAAGAGAATGAATGATGAACCATCCGAGAATTATGATTTCTTGATCCGCGCTCGATTTCTCCATCTAAACACATGCATGTCAACTTCGTCTCCCGCTCGAGCAAGTCCTTGCCCATCTACCACGCGTTCAATTATCACATTTCACACATACTAGAATTAGCGAAAGGAATCTAAAAGCACGCACGCACAAACTTCCTTATTTTGAAGTGTCTCTCTTATAATCCTTGCAAGCCAGATCTTTACTGATCAAAATTTATCTTTGAATCTTACAGATGAGAAAACCAACAGGCCGCTCAAATTCATAATAGACGTGGAGGAAACGAAGCGGATTTTACTGGAGCAAGAGGACACGAACGGCGACAGCCAGATCACAATCCAGGACGTCGGCCCAAAGACCCTGACCGTCGGTACGGCCAATTCCGGTGGTTACAGAAAATTTGAGATTCGTGGTACCTACATGTTGAGCAACCTTTTGCAAGAGTTGGCGTTGGCAGAAGGTTACGGACGTAAGCATGTGGTCTTGGACGAGGCCCGTTTAAACGAGAACCCAGTGGATCGTTTGTCCAGAATGATCAGGAACCTTTTCTGGGATGGACTGACCAGGAAGATTGACGCCGAAGGGTTGGAGGTGATTTGCGCCGACCCAAAAAATAAAACGGCCGACCACTCACCCAGAATTTATGTCCCTCACGGTGAGGATGAAATTTACGAATATTATAAAGGCGTCGCGGAATCCAGACCACATTTGAAGCTTGAAGTGGAAAGACTTCCCGAGCAAATCACTCCCGAATACGTGAAAAGTATCAACGATCGACCCGGTATCCTCTCTCTGGCGATGCAAAAAGTCATCGATGACAATGGTAATGCCACCTTCAAGGGTGTCCCGTTCGTTGTGCCCGGAGGTCGGTTCAATGAGATGTACGGCTGGGACTCTTACTTTGAAACCTTGGGCCTGGCCGTGGATGGAAGGATAGAGTTGGCCAAGGGAATGGTGGATAATTTCGTGTACGAGATCACGCACTATGGAAAGATATTGAACGCCAATCGAAGCTACTACCTCACCCGCTCTCAACCCCCTTTCCTCACCGACATGGCCATGAAGGTCTACGAGAGATTGTCGGATGACGAGGGTGAGAAGAAGAGGTGGCTCGCAGTGGCCATTCGAGCTGCCATCAAGGAGTATCACACGATTTGGATGTCGGAACCTCGCTATGATCCCGAAACCGGTCTCTCTCGTTATTACCCAACAGGTCTTGGCATCCCGCCGGAAACCGAGGCTAGTCATTTTGATCACGTCATACTGCCGTTCGCGGAAAAGCTAGGTTTGAGTATTAAGGAGTATGCCGCGAAATATCAAACCAAAGAAATTCAAGAGCCTCTGTTGGATGAGTACTTTTTACACGACCGTGCCGTTCGCGAATCGGGTCACGACACCACCTACCGGTTTGAGAAGCGATGCGCCTACCTCGCCACCATTGACCTCAACTCATTACTATACAAATATGAAATTGATATCGGTGAGATAATCCGAGAAATATACGATGATCATTTCGAATTGGGCGGCGGGACCATCGACACGAGTGCTGTTTGGTTCGAACGGGCGGAGTTACGAAAGGAGAGGATCGATAAGTATTTGTGGAATGAAGAGAAAGGCCTATATTGTGACTATAACACTGTTACAAAGTCGCAATCTGTGTATGACTCGGTAACCGCTTTTTGGGCTCTTTGGGCGGGTTGTGCTAGCCAGGAACAGGCGGAAAAATTAGTGTGAGTGGAATCTAGCGTCTCCTTTTTTTTTTGCGCGCCAACTTTTTTCCTCGCCCCTCATTTTTTTTTTTTCCCTCCTCCCCCCCCAGAAAAATATCCCTTCCTAAATTCGAGGTTCTCGGTGGCCTCGTCAGCGGCACCGAAGAATCCCGTGGCCATATTACGCTCGACAGACCAAACAGACAATGGGATTATCCGTTCGGATGGGCTCCTCATCAGATAATGACATGGAGAGGTCTGGAGAACTATGGTTTCATGACGGAGGCCAGACGACTCGCGTATCGTTGGTGTTACACCATTACGAAATCTTTCGTTGATTTTAATGGTGTTGTTCCCGAAAAATACGACGTGGTGACGTTAAATCATCAAGTTCAAGTGGAATACGGGAATGTCGGTACAGACTTTAAATTTGTTCCACGAGAAGGTTTCGGATGGATGAACGCGTCTTACGAAGTCGGTTTATCCTATCTGACAACCCACATGAGGAGAGCGTTGGGTGCTTGTACCAGTCCCGAGATTTTCTTTACTAGGAACAGGGTGAACAGAGAAGTCATAATAGATGACTCTCGCGTGACTACCCACGTAGAAACGAGTGGGAAACAGGAGCAACCCAAAGTCAGTTCGACAATTGTGGAAACGGTTGGTTCCATAGATAATGGTACTTTGTTAGAAAAGAATACTGAGGTTGTGGAAATTGATATAACAAAAAAAGGTTAACAGCCTCTGTAATTCTTCGGCCTTGTGCAATGTCTCCTCAACAAAAATTCGAGATCTCGAATCTTTAGTTACGAAATGTTTTACACCCACTCACCCATCTCCCCTTTTTTTTTTCATCGTAATCGAAAATTCAATTAGGTATCTCGAAGCTTTATTCATTTCTGTGATATAAAAAAAAAAAAACCAAAAAAAAAAAAAACCCCCCATTTATTATTTCGTTTTTTTTTTTCTCATCCCCTTTTTTCCCTTTTTCATCATTTATTTCCTATCGAGGCTTGCACATTATTTTCATATACATATGTATATTCTGTTTTAGAAAAGTTATTTTATGTGGATAAAAATCGCAAATTATTCTTCTATTACTTCTATAATCTACGAAGCCCAATCAAGATCATATTTCAATAAGTGTAAATAATTAATGTTGCATATAGAATCGTTGGGCCTGTGAATAAGGTTCTCTTTTTTTTTTTTTTGGTAGAATGTTTGAACCCCATCCATATACCATCATCATCATCATCATATTCTTGTTTCCTCTGCAATTCACGATCATTTTTATTCCGTGTCTTGTTATATTTCAATCAATCTACCATATCCTTATTATAAATTAATCACATCACATTCATTCTCTTATTTCTTCGTCTTTTTCATTTTAACAAATCTTCTGTATTTTTCAAGGGGATTTTAATCCTCATTTTAACCATTCTGTAATAATTACAAATCTTTTTCGAACTTGTGCCTTATAACGCAAATCCAAAGGTTTCCCTCTTAATAACTACCAACTGTATTTAAACAAACAAAGGAAGGTTTCGTTTTTTAAAATAAAATTGTTATTATGACTACATAGCGCATTAGATCAGTGCAGTTGGTATCACCGAGCCGTTTGAAAATGTGATTGAAAACTATGCTCTATTCTTTTCTTAAAATGAGTGTCACCTCACCTTGACCCATACATACACTTCAAATGATTAAGAACACGGAAAAATAAACAAGCACAGGGAGTTAACCAATAGGGCTAATGACAAGGGTTTTTATTGAAATAATAAATACATTTGGAACTTTAGAGCTCCATCTGTGCGTCCAAGATCTCTCCGCGAGCAACGGAATTGACTATTTCTCGACGAATTTCGGGTGTAATGAGCTCATGCGTTTTCACCTTCATCACCCCGAGGAGGGCTTCTTTTTGTTCAGGCGTCAGGTCCTGTTTGTATCTTTTTTTTAAAGTCAAAAAAAAAAAAAAAGAACTACTTTTAGCGATGAGACGGGGCAAACAGTTTGACAGAGCCTTACCTTTGTGCAAACACCAAGAATGATTGATGCCACAGCACGGGCATAACTCTATCGTCATGCTTAAATCGAAGGAAGTGAAAAACCAGCGCATCCACCACTTTATACGGCAATGCATATTTTTTATCAAGCAGAATGCGAATAAATAGACTGTTTGGACCAGTATATTCCATTTCGGCGAGACGCAGTAATGCCGCCGCAGAGTGGAGCATCGGAATGCTCACTTTTGTAATCACACTACCGACGATGGCTGCTTCCCTCAATGTGCAAGTGCCAGACTAAGAGTAACGATAACGCATCATGTTAGCATGTCATAAGTCGAATTAATATTTCCAGTTTTTACTGCTTGCCTCGCATAACGGAAACAAAATTCCTTTGAAGAAAGAGGCTGGTTTGTACAATGCCTTTTTCAGAGCCATGTACAGGTGATAATTAAGTTTTTTGTTTTCACTTATGTCATTTCGAACTTTTTCAAGTAGAACAAGATCGCAGAATCTATTGTTAACATACATCAGGTATACGTGTATAAGATCGGGGAAGCTGACGGTCGCGAATCATAAAGTGTGGATATTTTCACTCACCGTTGGGTTTGCTTCGATTTCAGGTTCGAAACGAAAATGCGAGTTGCCTGAAAGGTAGCGTGTGGCGTCCAGTTTTCAGGACGCGTGATAAATAATACCTCCTCCCAGTTGGGCAACGAGGGAATTATTTTAAAAGCCTTGGGAAGTTTTCCAGACTTGTATCGACTCAGTAATGTCCCAACTCTAATAAGTCCAAAGGGTAACGTGAGGCCAACAATTCAACCGAAACAATATATCCTTCCCAAGGTGAGACATACTTTGAGTAGACTTCAACCACTTTGGGGTTTATTGACAACGATCGAAGCTTTTCTTCTGCATCCACATAACAATTCTTTTTAAGAAATAACCTTTGAAAGCTATCAAATGCCATAAAGAAAAAAGATATTTTTAAACCTTCTGATGCTGACTTGTTCATATTCTGGGACTCGATCTTTTCCATGATAATGTCCGCGAGGGTCTTCCTCGCTTTTGGTGCGCTCGGTAGAAATTTATCGAGGATCTCCTGATCCGTTTCATCGATTTCCTTCCATCCATATCATGGTTAAATGTTAATGCCAATCGTAACTCCAAATCTCGAGATCAGACTAGGGAAATGAATACAAACTAATTCTTCGTGGTCGTAATCATCGCTATCCTCTGAGACATCATCTTGATCGCTTTCATCGTTCATCAAGGAAGAAAACAGTGCGTTCTGATCATATGTCCTATATTCAAATAATTAAGGTAAATTCCATCTGCTTATGATTGGTGGTGTTGCGGGATGAAGGTGCAATTTTTTTTGAAAACATACATTTGTTCTTTGTGCGTCCCTGTCTCAACCTCAAGCTCTTCCTGCTGTTCTCTAGCAATTTGAAGAATCTTACGAGACAAATTTGGATCAACGAATTCCTATAGCATTATTGGTAAAAAAAAAAATAAAAAAATTTTTTTTCTTAGATCAAAATTCATAATTCCCTTCGAATGGAACAAGCGAAGAAACTCTCTACATCTTCTTTATTCTTTTGCTGGTTGCGCGTAACGAATTTTGCTCTCGGATGCTTTCTTTTGACCGTTTCATCCTCTGCTAGTTGGACGTGAAGAGGATTGTGTCTTTCCTTTTTTGTTGAACGCTCTTTGCCCATTCTTGGTTTTTACGAGATAGACATACACGATACAATTTTTCTTTAGATCTCGGAAATCGGCACTGTGATACGTAAACCATTAGATGTAGATTACCATAATTGATTAAATTTTATATAGATATACAGTATATAGTTTTTAAATACTGGCGGAAGACTGTACAACTTATATACGTGTCAAACAAAATATCATCTATAAGAATTTTTTTTCTTGGTTTTTTTTTTTTTAACTCTAAAAAGGATTACAATTTAAATAACTTTTACATACAGTATCAGCTCCCCCATTATTAAAATTTCTTTTTCTAGATACAACTTAGGAGATGATATTTTGCTCTCTTCATAATTTGAATTATTCTTTAACTATGCTTATAGGTCATCACTGTAAATCTTTCAAAATTCTATTTAACAGATTAAAAATCCAATTATTTTTTTCTTATGTTATCCATTTTTCAATGACATCTTTTAATAAAATAATATCTATAAAATATACAGTATCTTTTATTCTATTCTTTTCAAGTATCAAAATATCTTTTTCATTATGATTTGATATAATACTATCTATTTTGTTTCTTGAAACCTTATATTTTTTTTCTTTTTGTATTATATTAATAGTCTTTTCCTACTCAATTATAGCAATATAACAATAGTTTAAAAAATTTTTTTAAAACTTTTTTATATTTATTGATAAAATTTTTTAATAGTTTTTTTTGTAATAACTTAAGATATTTTTGAATTTTTTTAACTTTATCTTTATATAAATAGTTCAAAATCAATTTGTAAAAACCCTGATCTTGTTATTACATTTTTTTTCAGTTATTTATTAATTTTTTAAATTATTTATTGAAATTTTTTCTTTTTTTAGTTAAATATTAAGCTAGTTTTTCATTAGCATTTTTTCAGATCTCTATTCTATTAAAACTAATTACTAAATATTTAAAAAAATATTGGGTTCTGAAAATTTTAAATCTTGAACAAATCTTTATTAAATATACTATATATCAAATTTTTTCATCTCAGTATTTGAAATATAAACAATTTATCATATACTAAATTTACTAAAAAATTTTTTTCTTATTGATTTTAAATAATATATAAATTACAGTATACAGTTGCTTTCAAAAGTTTGAGTCCACTTACTATGTTTTTATTATAAATTTTAAATTTGACAATTTTTAAATTCTTAATTATACAACCAAAAATTATAAAATTCATATATATTATATCTTAATACTAGTTTT